ATCTATCTATCTATCTATCTATCTATCTATCTATCTATCTATCTATCTATCTATTTTTGAGACAAGGTTTCTCTGTGAACCTTTGGCTGTCCATGAACTTGCTCTGTAGACCAGACTGGCCTTGAATTCACAGAGATCCACCTGCCTCTGCCTCCTGAGTGCTGGGGTTAAAGGTATGCACCACCATTGCCTGGCAATTGCTTGCATCTTTTTTATTTTTTTAATATTAGTTACAGTTTATTTACATTGTATCCCAGCTATAGCCCCCAATTGCTTGCATCTTCAGAGGAACATTTTGCTGATTGCCTGCTGAAAAGGATTCGAAGAAGATTGCAAGAACCCTAAACTACTGAAAGCTGCATAGGAACTCAATGCTAGAGCAGCGTCCGGTGAGCAGCCTGAGCTCTCTAACCACAGTGACGGAATCTCAGAAGGTGCTGGCGGAGTGTTACTGAGGGATGCACTGGACACAATCCTTGGCAAAGGTCACAGTGCAAGTTCAAAAGTTCAAATACTGTCAAGAGTTCCAAGTTTAAGTGGTCTCTCCAGGAGTTCTACAGCTGAGAAACCAGCCCCACGTGACACAGTGAAACAGGACAAAGGTATTAAATTTAGAACTTAAACAAGGGATTTTTATTTTTTAAATGAACATCATGACATATCCTCACTCTCTTCTCATTAAAAAAAAAAGAGACAGGCGTGGTGGTATATGCCTTTGATCCCAGCACCCAAGGAGGCAGATGGATCACTGTGAGTTCGAGGCCAGCCTGGTCTACAAAGTGAGTCCAGAACAGCCAAGGCTACACAGAGAAACCCTGTGGGGGGTGGTGAAGGAAAAGGTCTTTGGTAAGAAAGAAAGGGTTTAATGTTTCTTTCAAAGATGCAAGCAAGTTTCTAACATTCCAACCACTTAAGCAAGGAATGGGAGGGAAGTTCATTTTACAACGCACAGGGAAAGCCTGGATCTGTTTTTGTGTTGTTGCTGCTTGTTTGTGTTTTGAAAAGATATGGACCACCTCACAGATTTGCATGTCGTCCTTACGATGTAGTCACGCTAAATTCTTCATTGTTTCAATCCTGCTGGGATGAACACGGATAGGCTGCCCAAGTGACAAAAGTACTATTCATCTCTATTAAAAAAAAAAAAAAACCTGCTGAAATTTTCTGTCAAGTCTGCCTTCTTTTTTCTGTGCCGAGGACCGACTCGGAGCCTTACCCATGTACACAGATGCTCCACCGTTGAGCTGCATGCCTTTAGTGAGATGCAAGATGCATCCTCAGCAGCTGTCTTGCTGCCCAGTGGAGGATCCTCCAGAATTCCAGGCTTGCCACTGCTCACCTGACCATGAGAAAGTTTAAAAATTGCCATGTTACTACTATATTGCATGTGTGAGAGCATACTGTTAATTAAAACACTGCTAATCAGGGAGCTGGGAAGACGGTTTAGTGATTAAGAGCGTTGGCCCTTCTTCCAGAGGACCCAGATTTTGATGCCAGCCTGGTCTACAGAGACAGTTCCAGGACAACCAGGGCTGTTACACAGAGAAACCCTGTCTGGGGTCAGGGGGAGAGAGAAAAGAAGGAAGGAAGGAAGGAAGGAAGGAAGGAAGGAAGGAAGGAAGGAAGGAAGGAAGGAAGGAAGGAAGAAGGGAGGGAGGGAGGAAGGAGAAAGAAAGAAAGAAAGGAAGAAAGAAAGAAAGAAAGAAAGAAAGAAAGAAAGAAAGAAAGAAAGAAAGAAAAAGAGGGAGGAAGGTGGCTGAAACAGTATGCCTACCCCAGTGTTTTCTTCACAATTCGACCTTAATATTACTTCCAGGGGAAAATGGAGTTTATGTCCTTTTCCCGCTGAACTCAGGTAAACATTTGTAGCTGTGTCAACCAGCAGAATTTGGGTAACAATATTATGAAAAGTTTCAGGCTAGATGATAAAAGTGCTAAGTGTTTCATGTTGGTCTCTTGGGGCACTCAGTGTAGAAACTCCCTTGGATACCCTTAGGAAGCCCAAATTAGCCTGCCGTTCGGATGGTGCCCTCGCGAAAGGCCACTGTCATCTGCGGGAGTAAGTGTGAGGATGTATTCAGTCACGCCAGCCCTCAGGTGTGTCCTCATGAGCAATCTGGCCTTTGTGCCTTCCCCTGGAGCTTCTTCTGCATCGCAGAGTAAAGACAGAGAGCATCCCATTGTCTCCTATCTGAACTCCTGACTCACAAAATCTGAAAGCGTAATAAAATAATTGTTTTGTGCCACTGAGTCTCAAGATGGTTCATTGTAACTGAAATAGAAATGTCACAAGCCGTATTAGTGTCGTTTGCAGGATCTGTAACTTCCCAGGATAGAACCTGAGCTGGTTCTGGTGCTGTGCTACACACTCAGGCTGAGAGCAATCTAGGGGAGGGAAAGGGTTCATCTCCCGAGGCCGCGGGCCACCACCGAGGGAAGGCAGGCCAGGAACTCAAGTAGGATCTTGAAGCAGAAACCATGGAGGAGCACTGCTTGCTGGCTGGCTCCTGGGCTCACACTTAGCTTTCTACAGCTCAGGCCCCCCTGCCTGGGGCCAGTGCTGCCCACAGTGGGCTGGCTCCTCGTGCACCGATTAATAATCGAGATGATCCCCTACAGACCATCCCCCACAGGCCATTCTGATGGAGGTAATCACTCAATCCAGGCTTCTCTCACAGGTTGTGCCAAGGTGACAGCCAGGCTAAACGGAAGAGAACCATGTGATGCTCACTATTGTCAACTGGACAGAGTGACTTACTTTGTGTGCCTGGCCCTTTAAAGGATCCCCAGTTGACCCTGAAGGGGATCTAAAATTCCAGCAGGGGCTGAGAGAGAAGGGTAGGGTCAGAGGAGACAGTTGGCTCAGGAGGAAAGAAGATTGGGTGGGGCGGAAGAGGAGAAAAGGGACTGAGCAGAGTGAAAAGAGGAGACAGTTGAAAGTGAATTGGGCTAGCAGAGGGAGAGGACCGTTGGTGACAGCTGAGCCAGGAGAAGCTGAGCCGAGCAGACAGCCTAGAACAGCTGCAGTTTGGAAATGCTAGTACTGGGAAAACTGGGAGAAGGTACCGCTTAAGCACGATGTTGGAGGCCCAAGGGTGGAGGGTAGGGATAAATACTTGAAAGGGCTGGGTGGAAACTGGGAGGAGGGCCAGTTAGCAGTTAAGAGAACTGCTTACAGTTTGTAAGAAAAGGAGACAACATTACAAAAACAACATCTAAAAACATTAAACACACAGACACATAGAGGCACGCTCGCGTGCGCGCGCGCACGCACACACACACACACACACACACACACACACACACACCTTACAGTCCTCTGCTGTCTGGCTTCGGATGTGTGACCAGCTGCCTCGCTCCTGTCCATGACTTCTCTGTCGTGCTGAACTCTACCTTGAACTGTGAGCTAAAATAAACTCTGTCTTCCTTCAGTTGTGTTGCTCAGGGTGCTTTGTCACAGCAATGAGATAAGTAACTAACAGAAACCATGAAATCGACATGTTCAAAGCTATTTGTCAAACGTGCAATAAGAACAGGCCTGGAGGTAGAGTTCCGTAATACAGTGCTTGCCTGGCTGAACAAGACCGTCGTTTTGCCCGCTAGAGAGGAGTGCGATGTGAAAGAATTGCCATTCGCAGACTGTGTCTTTTTATTGGGTTTAGCCTTTTGTCTTCCAGAATTCTTTTCCCCCAAAGTTCTGTCCTCAGCTGTTTCATTTTTTGCTTCTTTTTGAATGTAGTGTCTCTTGAACCCCAGTGTAGCTGAGCTTTCTAGTGGATCCCTATAATTACGCCAAACTTCATTGGTCTCAAGACAAGCCCACTGTCTTCCTTGTAATCTGAACCTTCTGAGGGAACAGAAAAAACAATAATACCAACTGTTAAAATTTGGTGAGGGGTTGGGCTGGTGGTGCATGCCTTTAATCCAGAAGAGGCAGTGGATCTGAGTTTGAGGTCAGCCTGTTCTACAGAGTGAGTACCAGGACATGCAGGGCTAGAGAGAGAAACCCTGTCTCAAAAACCACAACAAAAACACCTCAGTGGATCTGGTGAAGAAAAAACCAAAGTGCTTCTTTGTATGATCCTTACAACTCCCTTGTACATTTGAAATTATTTAAAAATTAAAAAGTTGCTGGTTGTGGGAGTGCAAATCTTTAATCCCAGCACTCAGGAGCCAGAGGCAGGTGCATCTCTGTGTGTTCCAGGTCAGTCTGGTGTTCATAGAGAATTCCAGACCAGCCATGGATGCATAGTGAGATTCGGTCTCAAAAGGAGGAGAAGGAGGAAGAAGAAGGATCGAAGAAAAGGAAAGGAAAGAAAAGAAGAAAGAAAAAAGAAAGAAAGAAAGGAAGGAAGGAAGGAAAGAAAGAAAGAATGAAGGGAAAAAGAAAGAAAAGAAAAGAAAGAAGGAAAGAAAGAAAGAAAAAGAAAAAAACGCATACAAGAGACAATGACTAGAAATAATAATCAGAATAATCTTTCATTCCAATTTCCTTGGCTTTTCTCTCAAAGCAATCAGTACTATTTAAGCTTTCTTTGTGTTTTCCGGAGTGGATTTCTTTTTTGTCTTTCCAATATCCAGTTCTCTTGAGAGTTTCCTCTGGAGACCTACTCTTCTCCTTGGGAGAATCTCACACTGGGACGTGGTGTTGGAGCTCAGTGCAATCCATTCCATGACTCCACAGATGGAAATATAACACAGATAAAGGTAGCAGTGGATAGATGCTCAACCAAGGGGCAGAGGGCTCCTGCCATTCTTAAAGGAAGCTTTCTGGCTCATGTAGGTTTTATCTGTCATCCTAGCATCTCTGAGGCAGAGGCGGGAAGATTTCTGTAAATTTGAGGTCAACCTGATCTTTATGAGAAGTTCCAGGGGCTGCAGAGATGGTTCAGCAGTTAAGGGCATTTGTTGCTCTTGCAGAGGACACAAGCTCAACTCCCAGCACCTACACGGTGGTTCACAACTGTGATAGCTCCAGTTCCACGGGATATGCCAGGCACACATGAAGTACACATAAATTCATATAGGTAGACACTTACACATATTCAATGATAGATAGATAGATAGATAGATAGATAGATAGATAGATAGATAGATAGACAGACAGACAGACAGATAGACAGAAGTGCACATAGTAAGACCATGAAGGGAAAAGTCCTAATTGATATTGTAGGTTGCTTACATTTTTTATTAGAAGAGAATGTGTGAATTTCATATGTATATGTATATACACAAAGTCAACATTTTTATTCTTTCCCTCTTTTCCTTCCTCCCTCCCTCTCCTATTTCTCTAATTCTCACTCTGGCTCAAAATATGATCCCTCAAATCAAAACATTATATAAAAATAGGATAATATAAAATAAAATCCTGAGCAGTAGAACCTTTTATTTGTATTTTTTTCAAACTCTGTTCAACCATGGTTTTACAACAGATGGCTTCCTCTTTTTCTCCCTCTTCTCCAATTGTTTCCTTGCCATCTGCGTTCGTCCTTTGGGAATGGCATGCCCACAGTGTGCCATTTCTACAGTAGACTCTCTCTTCTTCAGCTTGTTTTCTTCCTCCTTGTGAAGTCCCAAGGGAGTGATCGAATGCTCTGTAACTTTTCTTTCTGTCCCTTTTCTTTTTCGTAAATGAAACCTTTGGGCGTGTTTTAATGTGTCTTCTCAGCCAGCATGAAAGGAGGGCCTAAAGGCACCAACCACGGAAGGCGTCTTTTCCTGCTTTTTTATTCACACATAGCACAACTCCAGCTCTTGAAACTTTTCCTTCTTTTTGCTCCAGGAAAAGGATAGATATGCTCATACTTGTATCAAACCAGCCTGTGAGTGGAACCTGGAGCCATCTGCTTTGGGGCGTGGCATTGCTTGCCGTGTGTGTGTGTGTGTGTGTGTGTGTGTGTGTGTGTGTGTGTTGTATCTCATCCAGACAGATGTGCCTGCTCCAGTCTAGCGGCTGTGAAAATACCTGACATCGATTGTTTTCCATCTTCATTCTTCTCTACTTTGCTTGGATTGCTGACCCCCTGGCTCAGCAAAAGTCCCAAACAAACGGAAAATGAACCACATCTTCTCTCTTTCTGTGTTCTCAGGATCCGTGTTGCCCGCTTTGGGATTGGCATGCCCACCAGGGATTTCCCCTTGATTCCACTGTAGACTCTTGCCTCCTCAACTTGCTTTCTTCCCCTTGTTAAGTCTCGAGAGACTGATCTAATGCTCTGTAACCATCCCTCCTCTTTTTTTTTCTTTTTGTCCCCTTTCTTTTTAGTAAATGAAGCCTTTAGACCTGTTTTAGTATTTCCTCTTGCCAGCATCTCCACTGGCAGGTTGAGGCCCTTGTACGGTATCAAGTGATCACCGCTAAATCCCGTCCTTACCGGTATTTGCTCCTTGGAGGTGAAAAAATAAATGTTTTATAAAGCTCAAATTGGCCTTATCAAACAAAACATCTGCTAGATCAGTGAATGACTGGTGACAGCAGGGGACAGCAATGCTGGCCTCTCCAATAGAAGTCACTGCAGTTAATGGAAGCTATTATGGGAAAATTCTGGCAAGAAGTTTTCTTTTTCTTTTTTTTTCTCCTCCAGACAGCTAAAAAAATTTTAAAGAAAAAAATGTATTCAGTTGCTAGGGTAACCTGTGGTTTCAAAACTACCGTAACAAAAGCCAGATATCACATATCAAACTACCAAATTGTTAATTTGACTGGTATTTTAAAATAACTACTTGAAAGAGATGTTTTCGCCTTATCTTGCCTTGTAGAGCAATGGAAAGTAGGGATTGCAGAGCAAATGAAGAAGAGGAAGAAAAAGGATTTGGTAGATTTCTTTGAGAAATATTTTTTATCTTATTAAATATTTTTTGGGCACAAAAATCTGCCCATGTTTCAAACACAAGGGCATTCAAGGATTATTTAATTATGAAGAGTTACTGCTTTCAATGTTTCTGCCCCAGTTTCAGCCCTGACTGGGTTTTAAGTGACTGGTGTTCTGTGAAGCAGGTAAAAATCCTGTTGCTTATGGGAGTCATGCATGCTCCGACACGCCTAGGGATGATGAGGTTTTCCTGTGTCTCGCTTTTTCGTCATTTGACTGAAGGGAAATATAATAAAGCCAGTACAGCATAGACATTATCATTAGAAGTATCGAAAATCAAATTCTTTTTCTATTCGTTTCTAAATTGCGCTAACCTTTGAGCCTTGGATTCTTCATTTTAAAAATGAATATCAGGACCAATGGCTCATGTCAACAAATAAACTGCAAGGAAAAAGTGAGTGACTCAATGTTAAAAAAAGAAAGGGAGGAAGAGAGAGATTGGGGACATAGAGATGAAAACTGACTTAAAAGGCAATTAAAGCCAGCCTTGGTTGCATAGTTATTTAATCTCAGCCCTTGGAAAGCAGAGGCAGGCAGATCTCTGCTCATAAAAAGTTCCAAGACAGCCAGGGCTGCATAGGGAGACCCTGTCTCAATAAATAAATAAATAAATAAATAAATAAATAAATAAATAAATAACAAAACAACAAAACCAGAAACCCCAAAGGACTCAATTAGCTGTTATGTAAGACTCTCTTGACCTAACAAAAACAATTATAAAACATCACTTAGAGGAGTCCAAGGGATACTTGAACATTGATTAAATGTCTTATACTACAAGGGATGATTTCAAATGTGTTTAAATAAGACCACAACATGGTATCGTAAGTTTCTAAAACAGCTCTTTACAGGTAGACAATCAACAGTCCCCTTAGATTTGATTTAAAACGAAGCAAGAGGAGCAGGAACCAGAGAAACAAGAGTGGTCCTGAGATGAGAACTGTTGATTCTGGGTGCTGGACAGCATTTCTCCACTGTTCAACGTGTATTTGACACTTCATCTAGCAATGGTTTAAAGAGAAAGATCGGGCTAGAGAGAGGAGGCCTCACCATGGTTAAGAGCAGACATTGGCTTTTCCCGAAGAATCATGAGCCCACATCAGGTGGCTCACGACCATGTACCTCTCTTTTCCTCGGGTACCTGTACCTCTGTATACACACACTAATACACACAATTAAAAAATAACGTTTTAAATGAGAGATAAATCAGTTATGCTCAATGTTAAGATAGTGTGGGGGGGAAAAACGAGGTGCCATGCACAAAGCACACACCAGAAGGCCAGAGAGCTACAGGGAGAGACCCTGTCTCAAAAAAGAAAAAAATCAAATACAAGCAAACAAAACAACAACATGGGATATGATAATTGCTCAGCAAATGTTAGCCATTGTTCCTAGAAACAAGACCCCCAGTCTCCATCTGCGGAAGGCAAGCAGGGTAGCATTCCCGTGTAACTCCCAAGGGTCTACAAGGCTAACCTGTGCTAAATAAGTGAGTTTAAGCCTAGTGTGAAATACATGGTGAGGCCTTACTTCAAAACAAAACAAGGACTGGAAAGAGGGCTCAAGGCATAGAAGCAGTCACAGTTCCCAGCTTTCACAGTGGGTGGTTCGCCACCTCTGGCCTCCTCGGGATCCCCGAACATGCTTACCGACGACATACACCTGATTAAAAAAAATAATACTATCTTAAAAAACGAAAACAAGCCAGACACGGTAGCGCTCCCCTTTAGTCCCACCACTCTGGGAAGCAGAGGTAGGCAGCTCTCAGAGGCTGCTGGAGTTAAAGGCCCACTTGGTCGCCAGAGACAGCCAGGACAAAGAGAAGGATCGGGTCTCAAAATAAATACAATCATCATCGTCATCATCATCTAAACCAAAGCAAAACCCAAACCAACAAACAAAACCAGACAGACAGCAACAACAAAACATCCCTAGACTCCATGGAGCATTGACTCCTTCCAAACAGGCATCACCAGCTGCTAGCTGATTCCAGGCTGTTGCTCACCTCTCTGGCCCCACTGTGACTGCTGTGACTCTCAGTGTTTTAGCTCTGAATGGTACTTCCAAACAGGGCAAGACTTTTCTTTTCTTTCCTTTTTAATTTTAGCTTAATTCTCAGTAAGCACGGAGGCATGGCCACGACTTTCTCTGCCTGGTTTTATTTAGCCTTTATAACAATCCCTCAAAACTGAAATTCTTAGCAGCATGTTGGAGAACAGACATCTGACAACTGTTTCCACCTGGCCAGGATCAAAGCTTTAAGTGGCGAGCCTTAATGTGTACTCATCCTGAGACTTCCAAGGGCCTTGTGCCACCTTGTCCTAGCTGAAAACAACCGTAACTCAGAAAAGGTTAAGTTAACGTTGGCAGTCTAAAACCATATATATCCATCTGCCCTGTGAGAGGCGGTGCTGGTGTGTCCCTGTGGTATAAAAGATCTGCACCCACGGTAAAGGAGCCAGCCACAGGCTTGAAAGTAGCTTGGGCCTGCAAAGGGGAGGCTCAGAAGGGAGTAATAGAAAGTCTGTCAGGACTGAACTGACATTTGTGTTTAATTTCCCCCTTGTTGCAAATGCTATCCAACGCGTAAGGAAAGAAGAAAGCAAAGAGAGGTGTCTTATATGAGGAGTGCCCAGCTCCAGAAATGAAAAACAGCTAGCTGCCACCCCACACTCTAGCCCGCCCCCCCCCCCGCCCCGAATTCAAGCCTTGGTTAGAATGTAATCTAGCGGTTACACCAACACCCTAAACTTGCGAGTGAGGAGCGGGCTTGAGAATTCTGCTTAAAGAAAGCCAGACAACCAACCTCCTGCGAGATGGGCGTCCGGTTATAACTGAACCGGAAAAACAAATTCCCTGCCGCCGAGCTGCCAAGAGAAGTGCTCGTCTCCCAGACTCGGGGGTCAGCCTCAGGGCTTCACCCCACAGCCTCCTGGAAGATTCCCAGCTAACCCTTTCCCTGCCGGGCCCAGAGGCAGTAAGAAGCTCACGCCAGCCTTGGCCGAAGAGGACTGTCCGCGTCTTGAGGCGGATCCCCGGTCTTCTGACAGTCTCAGCACTTAGATCCTCTTAACCGGAAAACAATAGCTACTTAAGAAGCGTGAACAACCCGCGCTCTTCGCGCCCAACTACAGCACACCCTCTTCTCTCCAAATCCAGGGCAGGTCCGGGCAGAACAGGAAGCCCGAGGCGCACCCCCGCGTGGAGAGCGTGGGGCAGCCGGCCTCCACGACCCCTCCTCACTGCCGCACATCTGGAGGGCGGGGGCTAGGCAGTGCCGAGCGCTGGCTTCTGTAGCTTGGAAGTTTAGGATTGTCCCCTGTACCATGTGAGGCTGTGGGCCGAGGCGTAGCCCCTCCGGTGGATAGGAGCAGGCCCCTCGACTCCTCAGAGGGTGGAGATTCTCGGCTTCCCTCCCCGCTGCTGCCCCCGGGTCGGAGAAAAGATGTGGAATTAGGATCGAGTGAGAAATTCCGTGTGCTCTGTAATTACGCACACCCTGAAATTTGTCAGCGTTCGACTTGAGTTACTTGGTGCTGCCAGGGCTGGGGCCCTGCGTACTGATGAAACGCAGCCTCTGTTTACCTAAACAACAAATGGGAGAGATCAGCAACGTTCGCTTGATCACAGTTGACAATTGAGGGGCAAGGCAACCCACATGAAACCGAGCCTAGGGAAGGCATGCCAGACGGGTGGTGGGCTCCTGCAGGGGCAGAACGGGGTGGCGCTGGGCGGGGGCGGGGGTGCTGGAGCCGCGGTGGAGGAAACTGAGGACCAGCACGTGGAGGAGAGGCCCAGCCTGTACCGCCACGGGCCACCCTGCTAGAGACTCCCAGGTTTTGAGAGACCTAAGCGTCCCGGACTGAAATCGCAGGGATGTTTCCGGAGCTCTGAGCCTGCCTCTCGGTGTTGGTGTTGTTTACCTGCCTTAAGGCCACCCTGCTCGGCTGACGGCTGCCTGGGAACAAGGATGGACGTCCCTGGCATGGGCTTGGTGAGTGTGTCCTTGTTAGCCAGTGTCTCTTTTGCTTGCGGTCCTAGGAAAGAGTGAAGGCACGTGCCTGAAGCGTGTGCCTGAAGGTTCCCTCTACCCCTGTGTCATTCAACACTCCAGGGAGAGACTCAAGAGGCTCTCTGAGGGCATGGGGGTAACACCAATGGGTAGTGAAACGGAAGGCTGGAGCACCAGGGTTGGGCTCTAGAGTGGCTGAAATCCAGAAAGCATGGGGTGCCCGAGTCCTCACGGCCCACACAGCCTCTTGGAGTTGCAGGGCCTTAAGAAGAGATTCCAGACTGGAGAGGACTGAAGGAACTACTCAGAGAAGAACCCAGCAGGGTGTCATCTGGAGAAATAAGGTCAGAGGAGAGGCACTGGAAAGTGTGTGCATGGGTGTGTGTGTGTGTGTGTGTGTGTGTGTGTGTGTGTGTGTTGGGCACAGGGTGTTTGGGAGAGGATGTGATCTATTTAGGTGGTTTTCCAAATCCTGGGCTCACGTGCAACGCTGGCTGCAAAAGACAAATGCACAGTTTCCCGGCTCTTCCCCTCTTCCTTCTCCACACCACACTTAGACAAAAGCGGAAGAATTTGTTCTAGACACTCCTGGACAAACCAAGATGGAGCTCTTTCCTGCCAGACTAAGGTAGGGGACATAGCCTGCTCAGAGTCTAGGGACAGGAGCTATGGATCTGGGAAGAGGATCTGGGGGATCAGGAGGAGAAAAAAAGGGAAAGAGAGAGAGCAAGAGAGGGTGGGGAAGAGGGGAGAGAAGAAGGAGAAGGGGAGGAGGCAGCAGGGGCAGAGTTAGACCTGGATGTGAGCTGTTTTGTGGTAGTCACGTTATCAGATTTAGAATCTTTCCAGCCCCTAGCCTCCTCCTCCATGGTCCAGCTGAAGGTATACCAGAAGGAGGAATCCTCCTTTGGGATGGGTGACGTGTCTCTGTCCTCTCCTTACAGGTTCTTGGGGGAAGGGAGGGGAGGACGACAAAAAAACCTGGAAGAAATTTCCTTGGGAGAAGCCCATGGGTGTGTGCAGCAAGCAGACAACCTCAAACAGATTTTGGCACGAGGAAGGGGAGGGCAGCTTTGATGGCTGCAGCTCTGCTGTAATTTTGTCTTCCCTGTGTAGATCAGCTGGAAGAGTCAGCCCTAAGGAGAATTCCCCTCCCTGCTCAGCAGCGCCTTCCTCCCAGAGTCCTGCTCGCTGCTCCTCCCCAATCTGGCCTGAAATTTCAAGGGCTAATGGTGTGTGTTCCTGCAGTAATTAGGGGGCCATTCGGCAATCCAACACTTGTTAAACAAATACGTCAGCCAGTCATCCCCTCGGGGAAAGGCTGAGGAAGGGAAGCGGCTGGGACCCCTGCTGGGGGGTCCTCTGCTAGCGGAGTGGCATCCCAGTAACCCTCCTCTGCTGTGTCTGGCCTTAGGCTTCTCCACTCTTCCCTAGACCAAAGAGATACAGGCAAAGAACATGCATCTCGCCACCCACTGGACAAGCTGGGGAACCCGTGTCTCGGCTTGAAAAGTTGTCCAAGTCACTGGTGGCTCTAAGCCGAGCCGAGCAAGATCTGGACATAAAGGATGCGGAGCCATCTTTCCCCACCTCTGTCTTTTACCCTCTTAAATCGGCCGTATAAATCATTCCCATTTTTTAAGGTACATTGATCAATCTATCTAATGGCTTGTAATGGGCTCCTAGTCGCCATCGGCAGAAGCCTGTGGGCTCACACTTGAGTAGGGAAGGTTCTCAATGACGGCTCAGTCCACCTTAAACCCCAGGCTGGTCAGGCCTGCTGTGGTGCCCAGGAGAAGGAGTGTTGCTAAGGGTAGTTGTTATCCATGCTCCTGTCCCCAAAGTTAACTCCCGAATTAGCATGTCAGTGAAAAGTACAGCACAGTTGATGGTTCTGAACCAAAACACATTTTTGTCACTATCAGAAACCTGGATTTCTGTTCCCTGCATTTACATTTTCAGGAAAACACTTGGCTAGTCACAAACCAATATGCTCTTGGTCTAAGATTTTTCTTTACTCATTTTTGACAATAATGATATGAAATCGTTTGAAGGAGGTCGTTAAAGGAAGGAAAGGGGGACCTCTCCCATGACAGCTCCGGAGCTAGGCTTCTTCTGAACCCTGGATGAAGGAGGAAAGAGTTGGCAATTGGAAACTTCCTGTAAAGCTGCCCAGGAAGTGGGTGAACTGGGGAACAGAGCATGCCGACCAGAAGGGGACTCATGGCCAGAACCCTCTGGCTTGTGGCCTTTCTTGTTGTCAGGTTAAGATGCAGGTGAGAAGATCTTACAGGCGCTCCAGGGATGGTTCTGGCCACAGTTATCTGAGGCAACACATGTATCATTTGGGAAGAACTTCTCTTAAAAGGAAGAAAACTGACGCTGGCTCCTGTTGTCTTTTGCTTAGGGTTGGGACTCCTCCTTAGAGGTTGGTGAGGGAGGGAGGAAAGAACAGGCCCAAGCCCCTCCCCCCCAATAGTTTCCTAGCGATGCAGTAAACAAACTTATGATGCTTGTTGAATAATCTCCCAATAATTGCAGTCATTAAAATCATCACCTTCCTTCCTTTGACATACCAGTGTCTCCTTTAATTGTTAATGCATTTTTGGCTCAGATAAACAGATCAAGGCGAGCTTAGACTATAAGGTCCAGTTGCACCTAGCAGCAGACAACTGGTTGTACAGCAAAGGCCTGGGCTGCTCTCAACAGACCAGGGACTTTCAGTTCAGCCTGGAGACCTTCCAGAGGCCGGAGTTTGTGGCTCCTCCTAGCCCCTCCAAATAAGAGTGCCACCTTTGGGAGGGGTTGGGGGGAAGAAAGAGGAAAGTCTCCTTGGCCTATTGATTCTTCTTGGCTTTTTTTATCTGTAGGGGTTTGGGCTAAAAGGAGGAAGGGTGTCATAAAACGAGCGTTAAGTAAAAAGCTCCACAGAAACCGTGGGAGACTTCCTCAATTTTCAATTAATTTTCTTGATCCATTTGAACTCAAGCCCGGAGCTTTTAGAGGCATAAATATATATTAACCATAAAAGGCTCACCTAATCAAAGGCCGTATTTCATTTTCACTCACATGGACAAACTCCAACCGAGGAGAGGATTCACCGGACTCAACAGGCGCTAAAGACTGCATTGGGCTTCCTCCCCCCCCCCCCCCCCCCCCCCCCCCCGCCCCCGCCAAGCCCAACCCCACACCCTTGCCTTTTTTTTTTTTTTTTTTTAAACTGAAGTTGTTATGTTTCTCCCCAACTCCCACCCGGTGCTGACCTGATAATCACGGCCTGGTGTACCTCATGCAAATGAAAAGCATAATTAATTGCACAAATGATTCAAAACGGGAGCCTCTGTGGTTTAGCAAATAAATAAATAAAGGCAGGTGGGAGGACAGGGCAGACAAATGCTTTTCTGGGCGCCCCCCCCTTACCCCCGCCCCCGCCCCGCAGCCTGGTTCTAGTGGCCCGGGCTGCCACTGAAACCAGCCCCACCAATTTGAGAGCCCTTCGGTTCCTCCCCTCCCACCGCCCCCCTTCCCGCCCATAGCCGGAGCCTCTCAGCCGCACCGCACCCCACCTCGGTGACGGAGGCCCGGCGCTAACCTGGAGGAGCCCCGGCAGCTAGCTACCTAAAGCTTCTTACTCAGCTGCGGCGCGGAGGAGTTCAGGAAATAGCTGTTCCTGGCCTCGGCACCCTGCTTCGTGCACCAGCGAGAGAGCATCTCATCTGAGGCGTAGCCGCCCCGGATCAGGGATGAGTTCTCGAGGTGAAATTGTTTCCCCAGCTTTGCCTCTTAGACACTGCAAACTTGAGCAGTTGCTCAGATCAAAGCCCTTCGGAGAGGCGAGATGAGAGAAACAATATTTGTTCAAAGGAAGTGGACTCTTCCCTTTAATGACTCCATCCTTCTTTATTAGGATTCATATTGAATTTATTTTTTGCAAAAAAAAAATCATGTTGATTTAACCATCGTATTTACGATGTAAATATATGCCAAGATGAAAACGTCACGGATCAATTGTAAAGGACCCGGATACATAATTTTAAAAAATCAGTTTCAGTGTATATGAGGTTCTCACCCCACTTTCTCTGCTCAGTCAGATTTGTTTATGCAGAATCGACATTTAATAGTGCTAATTGCACTCCAGTTAAATTGCCCTGATTGCAGAAAGGGAAGCAATTTTCGCGCTCTCTGTCTGGGTTTGGAAGAAATTGTTTTATATTCACCTCTTTATAAAGAAGTGGAGATAAGGCACCCGGGCCTTTGCACAAATTGCACTTAGGGGCTGACTGGCAGCATTCAGGCGCTATAATAGAGCATTATTTGGCCGTTTTGAATAATGTAAAGCGTTTGCTGAAAGCTATTCTCCTGAAAATTGCTTTAACTTTTAAAAGGGTGATGATTCACTCCAAACCAGGCCTTTGTTGCATTGTCATTATTTCCCCAAATGTTTTAACAGTCAGCTCAACACTTTAGCATAACACATTGATCTTTGTTTAAAAACTAGATTTTTTTTTTTTTTAGAAGATGAAAAAAAAAAATTGTCTGACGGGGGGGGGGGGGGTGGAAACTGGACTTTTCCCCCCGAAAGATTTCCTTTGAGCCCCACGTTAGAGTTGGACTGGCGCGGACTGTTTTGTCTGTGGTCCTCCGGAAGGTTCCCCTAACTTTTATTGTGCCGAGGCCGCGCGTGTCTGGGAATCCGCGGGTGCCCGGGGCCGGAGCCCGGCGGCTGGGGCTGCGTGGAGGGGCGGCGGGGGGGAGGGCCGAGCCGGGGCGAGGAGCCGGGGTGCGGCGAGCGCCGTCTCCGTGGTGGGCTGGAAAATGTCACGGGTGCCAGGCGGCGTCCGCGACTGTCTTATTTATGACTCGGTCGGTTTCCCTGGAGGGACGCTGGGCTGGGGCGGGGAGGTCGCCGGGGACCCTCTGCCCTTCCCCTGGGGGGGGGGGGGCTGCGCCGGGCGAGTAGAGACGCCTCGCTGCCACTCAGCGATCGCCGGGCCGCCGCGGGGAGCCAGAAGTCACCTGTTGGGAGCGGCTCCCGGGTCCCCCCGCTGGGCCTTCTCGCCGGGTCCCGCGGCCTGGCCCCCACCCCCACCCTTCCCGAGTGTCCTCCGGTCCCCTCCCCCGGGGACCGAGGCCGCTGGCCTCGGAGCTGCGCGGCTCGGCCCTGTCCCCTCTCTCTCTCCACCGCTCTCCCCCTGCCTCCGCCACCTTAAAGTTGTTCTGTTTGTCTAAGGCCTCCTGAGCAAAGACCTCCCGGTGGAAGGCGACCCAGGGGTCCTCCCCGTCCAGAAGGCAGAGGGTGCGCGCAGGCCCGGGCTCTCCGGGCGGGAGAGGAGCTGCCGGGGACTTACTTTCGGGCCTAGGGGTCTCGCGAAGGGACGGGCGCTCGCTTGTCCTTCCTCCACACACTGCCTTCGGCGCCCGGGCCTCTGGGGTCGGTGGTTACGGTTTTCCCTGGAGAGCAGGATGTGGTTTGGAGGGGGAAAGGTGCTGCACGTTCTAGAACCCGGGTCTGCCCGAGCGGCTCTGGCGTCGCTGGTTCGAAAGCAGCCTCCGGCTCCCCTGAAAGGAGGGGAGAGCGGAGCCCCGAAGGACGGGGGACACTCCGGCGGCGGACGGCTCTTCCGCACCGAGGTCCAGAGCCGGGTGGAGGCCTCCAGCCTGCGGGACGCGGGGGCGCCCACGTGAGGCCCGGCTCCCGCGGACCCCGCGGGGAAGGTGCAGGCCCGGGGAGAGGCCGCGCGGGTCTCGGCGGGGTGCCTGCGGGGGCGGGGCGGGGCGGGGGCGCTCGTCCCCGCACTGGGCCCTGGCGGTCCGCGGGGAGACAGGTTGGGGCTGGAGCGTCCCCCTCAGAGAGCCGACCTGCGGGCCTCCCCCGGGTCCAACAGGCAGCGGTGCGGGGGCCGCGGCCTGGGCGGGCGGGGGCGGGGCGGCGCCGCGCGCGGGTTCCCGTCCCCAAAGTTGTTTCACTGTGGCGACGGGCGGCCCCGGCGGCGCGGCGCGGGCTGCGGCCCCCCACCCACCCCGCGCGGCCCCCGGGGCAGAGGCCGCGGCGACAATTAGGAAGTCACTCGGGCCGCTGGGAGGGGGCGGCGGGTCTGCGGGTGTCGACCCGCCGGGGTGGTGGGGTGGGGGAGGCCCGGCGGTCCTCGGCGCCCTCCGCCCCGCGGGACCCCCCCACCCCCCGCCGCTCCGAGCGAGCGTCGAGACCGAACGCGGCGGGGGGGAGAAACGGGGGGGGGGGGCGGGGGGGGGGGGACGCGACCACGACCGCGGCGGAGGTCCACGGCGAGGGTGACGGCCCCGAGCCGGCCCGGGCGTCCCCGCCTCTGCTGCTCCTGCCCCACGGGTGGGGGGCTCGGACGGCGGCCCCCGGGGGCGGGGGGCCCGGCCCCCGCGGCGCCCCGGCCCGGCTCGGGGTGCGTGAGTGTGTGTAAAGCTTTAATTGCGCTGTAATTCCTCCCGTCCCCAGCCCGCCCCCCGCCCCCGCCCGCAGACCTGACTGGCACGCGCCGGGCGCCCCGGCCCGGGCCCCTCGGCGCGTCTGATTGGCTGCGGGGCCGCTGCCGTCGGCCGGGCCCGCGCCCTCATTGGGCGGGAGGCGCAGCCAGCGCCACTTCAAAGCGGCCGCTCGCCGCACTTAGGCTGAGTTTGGCCGGCGGGAGCCCGGAGTCCGCTCGGCGCGAGCGAGCGAGCGAGCGCGGGACGCGGGAGCCGAGCGCGCGGGAGCCGAGCCGCGCCGCGCCGCGCCGCGCCGCGCCAGCAGCC